AGTCTCATCTGCTCCACTTCCGATCCAGCACCCTGCTTGTGGCCTGGGAAAGTTGCAGAGGATGGCTCAAAGTCTTAAGCCTTTGTACACACGTGGGAAAAAGCTCCAGGATCCTGACTTCAGATCAGCCCAGCTCTGGTCATTGCAGCCATTTGGAGAGTGAACCAGCAGATGGAAGACTCATTGTTCTCCTCCTCCCTCCCCCTCTAATTCTGACTTTCAAGTAAAATAATAATAAAGCTTGATCTTTTAATTCTATTCTCCAGAAGCCTTTTCAAGCGCCCACATGCAGCTCTCCTCCAAGTTCACATCCGCCAGGCCTCTCTACCCGACATCTGGGCTACTGCAGCCTTTCGCCCTGCTCAGCTGTCCTTCCTTTTATGTGGCTCATTCTTCTAAAACCTACATATGTGTCATCATGGCCCTTCCATGCACTAATTAAGTACTCAAGGCCACAGGACTTGGTTTATGGAAAGTCTGAGTTAATGGGGGAAAGTCCCCACATTCAATCCCACGCCCCAGGATCTGGAGGGGCCGCACTCTGTGCTACTGAATACAGCTTTCCAACAGCAGTGTAGACCAGCAAGTTGCAACAGGGAGTGTCTGATGGTGCCCCGAGTGGAGTTAACAGTGCTGTCTACTTTCTAGGCTTTGCTGCATCTGCTTGTTTTCCAGCGAGACTTACTTACTTTTCTTCTATTAAAAGTAACTCCCTTTTCAAAACACCTCTGGGGTTATTTTCAGGACAATAGAACTTCAGTGCACAAAGCCCTTGCAATTCATCTCTGGCTTCCTCTTTTTAAGCCAAGCTCTCTCCCCACCTCCCCACCACACCCCAACTCTAACTCACTTCCCCAGCCCCTTGGACCTCTGATTCCCAGGCCCCACCTCGGCGCCCAGCCCAGGTGATCCCTGCCCAAGTTCCTTCAAGCGATCGTCCACAGTTCCTTCAAGCACCCTGCAGCTGTCTCTTAGTGGCCGGATGTTCCTGTTCTCCATCCGGGCCTGCACAGCTCATCCCACGCATGGATGTTAAGCTAGTGCATCGGCCTCCCAGCCACTGCAACTGGGGCCAGAAGGTCCAGTTCCTGTCCGTGTGTCCTCCCCCACAGAGTGGGCCGTGCACACAGAACTGTGAGATGCAGCAGGAGGCGGATGTGCAGATCTGGGCCCTCCTTTACTTTTCCGACACACTGAGCAGAGTAGCGCCTAAACTGCTCCGTTCTAAGGGGAGAAAAGGAAGCAGCCTTGGATGGCCATGAGCCAGGCCACGGGTGTGCAGCAGGTTGGATTCTTAGGAAGGTTCTGTGAAGCATGTGGCACCTGTACCTTTTCCATGAATCTGAGGACAACTACACAGCGCATTCACAGTACGGTCACACGGATGAGTGGCGGGACAATTTCTGTGCCTCTGCCTTTTCTTCGACTTTTGCAAGAGAAGGGACAGCCTTCTCTTAGACAGGAATTCTCTAACACAGTTTTAACAGTTATCCAACATGTTTGCTCACTGACAGAAATTCGAAGTTTAAAAGAAACTTGCTGTGGGGGCAGTCATGGCAGCTGCCACCTGGTGGTCCTGGTGTTCCATGCAGGAGCACCAGTCCCGGTCCTGGCTGCTCCACTCTGCCCCAGCTCCCTGCTGAAGCACTAGAGAAAACACAGTTCAAGTACTTGACCCCGCCAGCAACATGGGGGACCTTGTGGGAATTCAGGCTCCTGGCCGAGGCCTGGCCCAGACACTGCTACAGCTGCCATGTGAGTAGTGGGCAACTGGCGGGTATTTCTCCTTCTCCCTTCTCTGTCTCTGAGGGTTAGCCAACTGAATACAGTTACCAACCCCTAAATAAAACTTTAAAAACAGAACTTGTTGCCCAGCAAAAAGTACACCACCATTAAATGTCCTAACTCTAAGATGACCTGACCCCTCACAGTACAACCAGCAAGGTTAATCAGCAATTTTAATACTTAAAAATTGCTGAATGAGGGTGTGGTGATGTAGTAGACTAATCCTCTACCTGCAGTATAAGCATTTGATACGGGAAATGGTTCATGTCCCAGCTGTCCACTTCCCACCCAGCACCCCGCTTGTGGCCTGGGAAAGCAGAAGGGAATGGCTCCTACACCCACGTGGGAAACCCAGAAGAAGTTTCTGGATTGTGACTTCAGATCAGCTCAGCTCCAGCTGTTGTGGCCATTTAGGGAGTGAACCAGTAGATGGGAGATCTCGGTTTCTCTCCCTCTCTCTCAGTAATTCTTTCAAATAAAATGAATCTTTAGAAAGTTGAACAGTGAGCAGAAATGAAAGAAAGAAAAATGAGCTAATTTGGCACACAGCTCTTAATTTTCTACTGGCAATTTACTTCTGGATTTGACTCTTGCCTGCAGGACAAGATTTTTATTTCCACATAACAGTTATAATCCCTCATGGTTTACATACAGATAAGCAAATTGATCATTAAAAATAACCAGGAAACGAACAATAACCAATAACCAGGAAACGAACATTTAATATTCCCCTAAGTCACGTCTGCGTGCACCCCTCATTCCTCATTAAATAGTTCCTATCATTTTAGGTCACATGAAGGGTCATCTTTTTCATGTGATTCTATTACAATCTTGATAAAATCATTATTTGACTTTTAACATATTACTACTTTGAGCTTATGTTGCCAAAATGGAGATGTTATCTACACAAACTTTAGTCTCAAGTTCAATTCCACATTCATATTTCATAACATTTTCCATGAATTTATTCCATGTAGTAATTAACTTATCTGAAAGTCACGAAGAGTGACATCTTTCATCTGTTGGCTCATTCCCTAATTGCCAACAGCAGCGAGGCCAGACCAGGCCAAAGCCATGAGCCCAAGACTCCATCCTGGCCTCCCCCATGGCCAAGCACATCCCTCCAGGATGAGCGTCAGTAACAGTTGGACCAGAAATGCAGCAGGGACTCAGAGCCAGCAACTCTCAGAAGGATGAGGGTAATTCCCAGCACATCCGACACCTGCCCCATGCTTCCAACCTGTGCATCCATCCGACACCTGCCCCATGCTTCCAACCTGTGCATCCATCTGACACCTGCCCCATGCTTCCAACCTGTGCATCCATCTGACACCTGCCCCATGCATTTCTACTTGGTTAACCACAGGAGATAGAGAGAAAGGAAACATTGACTCAATCTGAGAAAAAAAACAAGCAACAGAACTTGTTAAAAAATGTATTCTAGATAAGGGCCCAGCACGATAGCGTAATGGTTAAGGTACTCTCCGTGAACACGCTGGGATCCCATATGGGCGCCGGTTCTAATCCTGGCAGCTTCACTTCCCATCCAGCTCCCTGCTTGTGGCCTGGGAAAGCAGTCGAGGATGGCCCAAAGCCTTGGGACCGTGCACCTGCGTGGGAGACCCGGAAAGAAGTTCCTGGATCCTGGCTTCGGATCAGCACAGCACCGGCCGTTGTGGCCACTTGGGTAGTGAATCATTGGACGGAAAATCTTTCTGTCTCTCCTCCTCTCTGTATATCTGCCTTTCCAATAAAATAAATAGATCTTTAAAAAAATGTATTCCAGATATGAAAGGCTTGGGAAACCATAAAGGTAGTTTTCATTATACACAGCATTACCAACGCATCAATGCTCATTAGCGGGTTTCTAGACAACTGAAGCTCACCTGCTGAGGTCTATAAATTCAAGAAAAGGTGAAACCATTTCTAACAAAATTCATTCCAAATGCACTGACTCATTCCCCTGTCTCATAAACAGAGTGCACTCAATATAGCTCAAGTTATTAATCATGGCCCCAATTCAGCAAGCCAGATCCTGATACTGTTAGCCCTGTACTCCCCAAAGGCAAACAGGAACACGCAGAGCACAGCAACGTCACCTTGCATTATGCTAGCTGTAACACATTTCTTTGGAATATCTTCCCTTTTGCAGATTTCAGTCTTTTAACCTGCTGACACAGAAGATTAAACTCGGCTTAAAGACACTGTTATCACCTTGAAGTTAACAGCTCAAGGTCACACCAGTGATGCTAGATCTGTACACAGAGCTGTCTTGCTGTATTCTAGGTCACTGCAAAGTGCAGCGTTGCCAGAGTGTGCTAAGCTGACCGTTTCGAGGAGTCGGGAGTCCCAGAATTGCCAATGAAAGCAATTCATGAAAATCTCCCAGATCATCAGTGAAAAATTCACAAGCTGAGATTCATTTTCCAGTCAGTTTCCAAATAATAACAGTTATACATGAGACTCTAACCTGTGCACCTGCGACCCTAGTCGTCGCTGTAATTCTATTGGTCATCTCCTTTCCCTCATTCTTTGGTCATGTGACTCCTACTGGGCCTGAGGGAAATGCCTGTTAAAATTAATAATGGTTTAAATAATACTTATTTGATTTTCCGCATGCAAATCTGCACCCAGTTCTGTGATGACTGGAACAACTTTTGCAATTTTCTGCATAGTGAGCCTCAAAATATTCCATTCTGCCTGTGACATGCATCACGCTGCGCAGGCTCAGAAGCGGCTGATGGCGGGGAGGGCTGTGCCAACAAGGAAATACCCCCGCACAGGGCAGCAGAGAGAGACCTGCTGCCCCAAGGCTCGTGCGAGCTCACATCCTTTAGCCGAATCCGTGCAGAGGCTCACTGACATACTCACCGCTCACGTCTGGGTCAGCCTCTGCAATAAGGGAGGGACACGCACCCGGGCTCAGCACAGGGCTGGGGGCACATGGGCAGCGCAGACCAGCAGTCAACACCCCTGCAGCTGCCAAGCATGTGGGGTTCAGACCAACACTTTGCAAAGAACACGTTCTCCCTCCGGCACCATCCACCGCTGAGCCCGCCTGGCCCTTCTGCGTCTCCCAGCCAAGTCCTACCATCTCTACCAAGCCAGACTCAAGGAGGACAGACAGACATCGAACACAGACGACGAGAGACACGACCAGCACCACCCGTGTCTGCAGTCAGGACAGTTCCCCTGGGAACAGTAGCAGCCCTTACTGGTCTATACTCGCTGGCTGGCGGCATCATCCCAAGTGCAGGCTGGCTTCTCGGTCCTAAAGCTTTCCTCCTTTCACCATGGTTCGAGTACAGAGCCGGGACCCTGCAGCAGAGTGACCAGACAGAGCGAGCTCCTGCTGCCACTGGGCTGTTTCCTAACCGCTTCAGATCATGTTACCAAGGGTGACTCATTCTCTCCCGCCCACTTCCGTATTTAAACTTTCCCTGCTGAACAGTCAGCAGTTAAAATTAACTCAGAGCTGGAAGAAGACTACAGACCCCTTTTCACCTGGCATTTTTTTTTTTTTTAGGGTTAGTGAAAATTGCATCGTAAGACTGATTTCACTTCAGTCAAACTTGTAAAAACACGCACCTATTTTAAGGAAAATTCATGATGGGACTTCCGCTGCGACTCGGATCCAAGAAATCCCAAGGGTTTTGTGAAAACCATATCAGTAATCCCAAAGCTCTCTCCTGACAAATCTGCCACGGCTCTTTCAGGTTTTTGCTGTGACATAATTACGAACATGAAAGGAATTTTTAAAAAAATCTGTGGAAAAAAGGAATTTAAAACTGTGAGTTTCTTATGGTGCATTTTTTCCCCCTCAAATATTTATTCTCCCTTGAAAGGCACAGTTACAGGGAGACACAGAGCGAGACCGTGCAGCTCTTGGTCTATGTCCCAATAACTGTGGCAGCTGGAGCTCCCTGGACAAAGCCAGGCCCGGAGTTCACCCTGGCCACCCACAGGGAGGCCCAGGCCCAGCTCTTTGGGCCGTCCTGTGCTGTTTTCCCAGAGATCACAGCAGAAAGCAGCAATGAAAGTAGCTGGAACTCCCACTAGTGTTGCCAGGCAGTGGCTTCATCTACTGCACCAACAATGGTTCCCACCTCCACCTTTTCCATAATATGTGCAAAATGCATACTATGACAAAAAGGAAACCCACGTGAATTTCAAAATAATTTTGCACCGAAATAAGTGCCAATGTTGACTTCCCCTTTCACGCGGACTCTGTGGTGTCCCCTCACGTATGTTGCCAGTCAGCTTTGAGCTGACTGCACGTGCTCATCTCCCAGGCCCACGTCCTCCTTACACAGGATGTGAACTGGGGAGTGTGCCAGTCACGCCGTTCTGGGGAGTTCTCACTCTGTTTCCTGCCTCTCATCCATTTGTTTTGTGACTTGTCGCCATCAGGGACCCAGCAGAGGCCCGGGGGCAGCCCCGGGCCTGTGAGCGACACCACAGAAGAGGAGCTTTCCTCCTTCTATAAAGCTGCTTAGCTCGAATGATCTTCAGGTACCCTTCTCATACCTTGATTACGCCATGTAAAGGAGACTGGGAAGCAGCTAGGAAACATGAGAAACGAGACGCTGAGAGCCATCAGGGTGATCTGCCCAGGAGCTGGTGAACGCTTCCCTGGTGCCTGCCGTGCAAGCAGCAGGTGGCAAATGTGGCTTCTAAGTGAGCTACTCCTTTAACTGGATAAGCTGCTGAAGCACGCTCTCTCACAGCTTACACGCAGGGTGTGCAGCACCGCCCCTGCCCCGACCAGGAGCATGCTCTTCCCACAAGACAAGCACACACGTCTGCTTTCCCTGCCACCAAGCCTTCACTGTTCTGATTCCTGAAATGCCAGCAAAGACATTGACAGAAGCTACCCAAGAGAAAGAGCTGCCTGAGGAGGAGGGGAAATGCCAGTGGCATCAGGGAGAGCTCCGTGCCTACCCCAGTGCCCGGCTCAGAGCACAGCACCCGTCCAGCCCCAGGTTCTACCTTCAGCTTGGGGGGCTGCTCCGGCGGCTCCAGCTGCTCCGGCTCAACAGGGCTGTCCTCGTTGTTTTCCCTCTCCTGCGCCTTGGCTTCCAGCTCCGTCCCTCCGGCCGCGGGGAGCTGGGGACCGGTGCCCAGAGTCCCGCCACTGCATTCCGAAGCCTTCTCGTCACAGTCGTCGGGTGCAGGTGACGCGGGGCCCAGGGCTGCACGGGCTCCCTCTCCATTCACCATGTGCGCATCAAGCGAGGGCTGGCAAGGCTGGGCAGGTGCGTCGGGGCTCAGAGGGACTGCCTTGTCCTCCTCGCCCTCCATCTGGCTCTGCACTGCCGTCACGCCATTAGGCACACAGGTCTGGGCAGCCTGAGTGGAAGCCGCACCGCTGCCCTGTGGGTGGGGTGGGAGCTGGGAGAGCTGTTGTGGAGGGGAGGCCGTCAGCCCATGTCGTGCTGGGGTTCGGGGAACATTCAGGGTCACACCGGCATCTTTCTTCAAATCAGTACAATTTGATAAGGCGCTACAAGATAAAACAGAAAAGCATCATGAAAATATCAGCATGGGAAAGTTCTTGATTGAAGACATGTTGATTCTAGTTCAATGGGACATTTCATGGTTCCCTTCCCACCCCCAAGTTCGACTCAAATATTCCTCCTGGAAACCTGTCCACAGTTAAAGCTGGGCCTGAGCCTCACCCAGTGGGCCTGGGACATTTCCTTGGGCTGTGGAAGAGTGTGACTAGTAAGTGAAGACACACTCGTGTAATAAAATCTTTCCCTGAGATTTTAACTTCAACATTTTGAAAACAATTCTAACCAGCCCTCAAGCGATGAATAGGCTAGAAAGCAAAAGCTTATTTTTATTTGGAAAGCAGAATATGTTCTCAAAAACTGTATTCGACACATTGCAGCAGTCTCCTGGTGAGCCCTCTGACCTTTGCCAGTCTCGTCACCAGCGAGACAGTGATCAAAGCTCCGAGGGTCAGAACTTGCAGAGCTGCAGGGGGAGCCCAGCGCCAGGCTCTGGCCACCACGTGCTAGACCCGGCCTGAGTTCCCAGCTCCCAGCCTGGGCGTGGCCCGGCCTCAGGTGCTGCAAGATCTGGCGCGCTCTCTCTGGTATCATGGCGGGGCAGTGCGGAGGATGGACAGGTGGATCAGGGCTTGGGCAAAGCAGCAGCTGAAGCAGAGCCTAGAGACCCTGGGAGCTGTAACTGGGCAGCGAAGCTGTCAGCCCCTCCGTGATACTGGGGAAAACCAATGCCTGGGTCCACACAGCAGTGTTACAGCTGGAATCCTACCAAAGGGCCGGGGCGGGGAGGGCGTGGAAACCACAGTAAAAACAACAAAAATCTACTTGCTTCAAATCACCAATCTTAATCAAATAGTGCAGCTCAGAGCAAAGCTCCGACATGCAGGTAAGGCCCCGAGCGCCTGGTCTGTTGGGGTCCTGTGGGCATGCAGCCAGGTGCTCTGCCACCTTTCCACAGTAGTGCCAGGTGAAGCCGGGACAACACCATCCTGCAGACACCTGGCCGTCACTGAAAAGTCAATCCAAGTTTCCCTGACAAGTCTGACAGACCCAAGACAGCACTCATCAATCCACCTGCTCTCGGGGTCGGGCCGTTCCGGTGGCAGCTTGTCAAGAGGCATTGTCACCTGTCACGCTGCTGCAGACAGTGCTGTCAGCAGCCATGCCCACACAGGAACCGCTCCCCTGCAACGGACTCCAAGGCCATATGCACAGAGAGCCAGGCCTTGCAGTCCTGAGCCCTGCACACAGCACCTGGGAGCCGAGGATGCTGGGAAGCACAGCACGGGGTCCTGGGCTCGGGCCTCTGCGCAAACAGGGCACGGCCCGTGCAGCCCACCGATCGCAGGAGCTCACCTCTGCCCTTAGTGCATCCACTGAGCCAAGCAGCCAGAAAGCATTTATAATGAGATTCAATGAATCTAGTAGATGGCTAGGATATGAGACAGCCAAAGCATTTCACAAACCCTTCTTGAGAGGCGAGATGCTGGAGCTTAAATATTTATGATCGAAGCTCCTGCAACTGATTGGGAGTGAAAAATGAAGACAGCCTTGTAAATCACATTGTTCTAGAACATGGAACTACGTTTAGCTTCATTTTAAATCAGGGACACTGCAGATCTGTGCTGGGTCACAAGTCCCGGGTGCTCTGAAAGTATTTCCAAACTATGATTTCATTATGAATTTTATAAACAAATACGATCACCAAATGCTACCGAATATTCAGAGAGAGACTTGCCCTCGGTGATGGAAGAGGGGCCTGTGCAGTTAAGCACCCCCTCTTGGTGATAACTAGAAGCAAAATCCTTCGGATAATTTTTTTTTTTTTACCTAAGCCAGTGATGACAGATACATCCAAAGCCTCTAGAAGCACAAATGAAGATGTTTAAGGAAAAAATACATATGTGAATATATTTGAAAAGCAGACCGTACTCAGAGAGCGAGCTCTCCCATCCACTGGTTAACTCCCCAAATGCCCAACACATTCAGGGCTGGGCCAGGCTGAAGCCAGACATTCCATGCAGACCTGCGACAGGAGCCACAGGGACCCAAGCCCTGCAGCTGGGAGGCGCCCAGGAGCGTTAGCAGAGGTTCGTCAGAAGTGGACACTCAACCCCAAGCACGTGACACAGGATGCAGGCAGCTCAAGCAGCAGCTAAAACCATGGCCCCGGGACATCCCCCCAAGCCGTGAAGGACTTCCAAGTGGGAAAGCAGCACCTGTGGGTTTGCTTTTGAATTCCAGGGAGAACTACACATCACTTCACTCACGTCTGTTTACTGACAGTATCTCATGGCAAAGCCTACCATCAGGTGAGGATGCGCTGAGCAGGATGCAGGCACGGAATGGGTACGGACGCCCACAGGAGATCAAATAGGTCAGGAAGAAGAGAGGGCCCCAGGCAGGAGAGAAGCCTGCAGGAGCCACATTCACAAACCATTGAGGAAGAGACAAAGAGAGAAACTTCCGTCCCTTTCCCTATTCAGTGGCCAACAGATGGCCCCCAGGAGGGACATCCATGGAGTGACACGCAAAGAACCAGCGGGAGAGCACAGGCTGATGGCCCCGCGGGGGAGGCAGTGCACACGTCAGACCGAGTCAGTGACAACTCAGATCAGGGTAACGCGGACAGGAATCTATTGCAAAGGCACACTTTTCTCAAGGCCTGCCACACACAAGGGAGAAGGGGACTGCCTGCAGTCAGCCCTGGGATTCCAGCAGCTGATCGCCAAACACTTGATGCATCTCCCCTCCGCCTTCTCCCACGGAGGAGTCGCTCTCACCTGCCTCCTTCAAAGCGACTGATGAGGTCGGACACCTTGCTGGGCTTTTCTTTCGAGACGCATGAAGTCGAGGCAGGTTTCGCGTCGTCCATCCTCGGCTGTGTACTAGAGAAAGCCTTCTGCCTGGGGACTTGGGGTCTACTAGGCGAAGGAAACCTCTGCAGGTGTAACGGCTTTGGAGGCACTGTAGAAAAAGAAGAGGATGCGAGATGTCACTGACAAACTCTGCCGAGCCGGGTGCACGCACCTGCAGCTGCACCCAACTATTGGGAATGGAAACGGAACCCTAACCTGCCAATTCTGATTTGTCTGGGACATTTGCTGCATGTTCTGTAGAGATCTCATTTCCAAATTAGAGCGTTCTTTCAATTTCCGCTATTACACATAAGATATGATTGAACATCAAGGTATCAAATGCTATTGGAGTAGCACAGAAGTCATCCACATAGAAAATGGCTAAACTGGACCCAGAGGCACTGTCACAAACTGTCCTCCCAACAGCAGTGACAGCTATGGCAGGACCCGGAATCACTAGGTGAAACAACATGTAAGCCAATAAAGCAGCAAAATGCAGGAATATAATGTTAATATACTATCTTTCCAGGGCTGGCATTGTGGCATAGTGGGTAAAGCCACTACCTGTGAGACCAGCATCCCATACGAGCATTGGATGGAGCACCGGCTGTTCCACTTTCCAGTCAGCTACCTGCTAAGGCGTGGGAAAAGCAGTGGAAGACAGTCCAAGCATTTGGGCTCCTGCGCCCTCGCGGGAGACCCAGAGAGCGCTGGCTGCTGTGGGCATCGGGGGATGGACAGTGAACAGAACACCGCTCTCCGTAACTCTTTCAAATAAATAAATGTTTCAAAAGTATATTATCCAGCCTCACTCCATTTAGTAGAATCATCTGATTTTGGGTAAAAGTTTGCACTTGACAGTCCTTGGAGGCGGCACCATCGTTTGCATGTGACGTGGATAAAGGCTGAGTGGGAAAGGTGAAGGGCATGATGGGGCACTGGGCTGTGACCCGCACAGGGCTCCTGCCGCCCAGCACCAACGCAGCAAGGAGAGCTGAGCTGGGGCAGAGTTCTGCTGCGGCCGTATGCTTCCAGCTGACTCGCATTAATGTGCCACAAACCACATGCCAGCCAGCAAGGCTTCCACTCCACTCACAGCGACCCCTTCCTGTGCCAAATACTGTACCCTGCCCCGTTGCCAGAGCTGACGGCAGACAAGGAAATACGGGGCACTGCGAGTGTGCCATCCATACTGGAATCCCTTCACAGTCATCTCCCGTAGTTCACACCCTGCTCCCACAT